ACAACCCGGATAACAAATCATCCTTAATTGTTTTCACACGAAACAACTATAAAGGTGATGTCACAAGCCTTTACCATATGTCACGCAAAACTAAGAATGAAATTGCGATTATGGCCTTTGATTCACATTCCGTCGTCAACGAAAACGTGCTAGTACAAATCAGACAAAACATCTTGGAGGAAAATGCACAAGAAAATCACATATTCAGCGTCTTCAGTAGATCACGAATTCCTGCTTTAAACGGTATGGGGGGGCATTCAGAACTTTTTACACACATGCTACTATGTAGTGAACAAGAACACGGGCGAGAACAATCGAAGGTATTTGACACTAAATTACAGAACTTGTTAATGAAATCTAACAACCATATAGTAAACGCTCAATTTACAAAAATGACCATCAACTGTCTCAAAATGACTCAGACTTCATTGTTTTTGCAATAAGATAACTAAATTTCTAGCCAACAGAGCAATATAGAAGGTAGGTCAAACATGGATAATATGGACTTCAAAGTGACAATCACTAAACATCATGATTATTACGTAATAAGAGTTGTGCAAATAATTATGCAGAGAAGAATGTGAAAGGAAAGCGGAGCAAAATGGTAAACAGATGTGAGACGTGATAATTAAGTTTTATTGTCTATTTAGCCACACACAACCAACGCAGGGATATAGGTGTCGCAAATCTCAACTAAGCATCGAAACTAGAGTTATTGGTTCTAGTCCCTATAGTTTCCGCTACATGTAGGAGATAGGATTGAAATACGTTTAAAAGTGGCTGAGGCACACAATAGATTACTTTATGTGGATCTGTTTTGTTTACATATGACGACTTTCAACCAGGTGGGCCAAGAAAGAGTTAACTATTGTCTTTGCTTGTATCGTTCCAAACCGAGATATTCACTCATTTCTTGGTTGATTTGCCTAGTAGTACGCCAAAGATAGCTATCACCACAGGAGAAGCCAAAACATTAAATGTGCATTGTGGATTGAGTATATTGGGTAACATCTTCAGGTAGATTTAACTTTTCTGTCAGGTTTATAATTTTAGCGTTTACATCGAAATCTCTAACCTGGGAGAGGATATTTCGTGATTTATGGAGGAGGCAGATGAGCAAAGCACTAGTCGGTCAACTAGTGTCGGATGTGTCCAGTCAAAACATCAGGAAAACATCAACTGGCCGTTCATTGTTAGTGCTATTTTACAGGAGGTAGAAGATCAGTAGTCATTTGTTGTGCTGGTTGACACATAATGATAAAGGTGTTATCAGGTTACGAGCCAGCCTTTATATCGACTTTTGGTTTAACGTAATAATGGCATGTGACTGAAGTGTTTGAATCACCACGTAATTGATTCATTAGAAGTATTTGGAATAAGTAAAAATGTGGCTCCTCACCACTGAATTGCCTGATGATCAGTTGCAGAGTGTCTGAGGGAGCCTGTCTTAGATTACTATCCAATACTCTTTGTGAGAGAGATATCTAGGGCCAGATTCTTATTTTGAGTTATTCAGGGTAAGAGCTTATTGCCTTACACTGATAAACCTACCGGAATTATTTATACTTATCTCTGGCAATCAAAAGAGAAGTTGCGTGATATTAAACAGTATGAAAGACCTCAGGACTATATAAAAATCAAGTACTGCTATGAGCCCCAGGTTTTCGTTTGAGTATACTTACTTCTACTACCCAGGTTTGGCTGTATATCGGCTCAGTACAGGATGCGAATTTCGAAACTGAGTGAACACTGGTAGGGATTACTCAGAATTGTTATCTTTGAAATACGGAAAGAATAGGAACCAGAGTACGGTTTATTTTTGGTTTTTTCAGACCTATAAAAGTTGGGATATTAAAACTCCACTTAGTCGTGGAAGATTCAAATCTGTTTGGCACCAATACTCTTGCCTCTCTTGTTAAGTTCGAGTTGGTGCTTCCTAGTATCTCTTTGTCTATTCTTTCCCCTTTACATATCGCCTTGACAGCTCTTGACTTTCTCCATATTTGGTACATCAAGAAAAGTCATACATGTACGTCTACCCCTTGTTCTGGCTGCACTTGTTTGAACCAAAGAAATCCGAGTAAGCTTGTCAGGTTTGTGAGGGAAAGAAGAAAAGGCAAATAACTCGGCTAAACTTCTCTATTTGGGATCTCACTAACTTAAGTTAGATATGTTGCTCGCCTGAGGCTCCATAAAATAAGCAGAGATGGTGGATACTAATAAAAATATTTGTAGAAGAAAAAGGTTGTGGAAGAAATCTAGGCCACTGAGTACGTGTAAATGTATTAATCCTGACCACATAATCCTCAAAGCTGGACATGAGATAACTGGGAAAATAGATATTCAAAACTTAACACGAAGAGAAGCCCAACAATGGTGAACGCGGAAATATTCAATCCCATTCAATCGGATGGCATGGATCTCAGTCTTGTAAACGTGATAAATCTGTATAACCTGTCTTTGCTCACATTGAATATATTATTCTATATTTAGCCTAATGTGCTCATTAAAAACGCCAAACATTATATCGTGAATTGTTAGGATACGAAGAGTCAGAATAGAAAATGATGTGATTTCCACGATTGAGTCTACGATTATGATATAATAATAACGAGGTACATCGTAATTCTACATGCTAACGAGACAAAATATTGATATTCAGAAGCTCGAAATACTTGACATAAACCTCCTCAAGTTTAGAAGATTGTATGAGGAGGGGCTTATTGAAGAGTGTGGAATACTATAAACACTTATAGTCATACACGGAACAAAGGACCAAGAAAAGAGACGATATCCCAGCATTATGGGAAGACAGCAATACTACGTAATTAGTAGGGAGCAACTGTTGTAAAGCTAAGGTATTCTCAAATTACTCTAGTGACATTTATACCCTGGAGATGCTCTCTCCAGTTTACACGACCTTCTCCCACGCACACTCTTTCAACTGTGACCATTAGAGAACCCGATATCTTTGGTCTGCTGATTGAGCTTAAAATAGGAAAATCAATGGGACTCGATGAGACGCGCCCTAGATTACATTATTCAAATGACTGTTAGTGTCAACAACAAAACTGTGAAAAGCATCACTGAACAAATACAATCGATTTTGGACATGAGTTCAATTACTGGAAGTTTTAGGTAAGGATAATATGTGACTATTAGGATCACCCAAATTGATAAGATCGGAATTACAGAGTATGCTTTCACTGGTAGCAAAAAGAACGGTAGTTCTACAAACCGACTTGTTGTGTCTTATTTCGCAGCACCTGAAGCACATAGCATGACGAAGTGCACACGAACTACATGAATGAATTTTACCACACGACGAACATTTACCGAACTTGTGCTCGCCCTTGTCTACTGCTTTGCAATTCTTCGAGGAATTGGTTCTCATGTTTTAACGCAAATGGGAACGATCGTTAATCAAACGCCTGTCCATACGAGCTTGAGTACAAATCGGACTAGGACAACTAAGTATTGCAGTGAAATTCTTGATATCCTGGAAGTCAGTCCGGTGTACTGCCTCGTAATGTATACATGCAATTGTAGCATTTCGGAATTAGCACTTTAGATTTTGCATAACTTCTCTTCCCATACTTGGTATCTTGATTCAAACAACTCATCAGACTCTTAGCTGGAATTTAAGGTGGTTACTAAATTTTTGCTAGGCGGCTTTTTTCCTTGATTCGAGTACAAACTCGTCAACGTTCTTATTATTCTGACTAATCATTCTATGAAAATTTTCTCTTTCACGGCATTAAAAATTTGTATATTACACGTGACGTGATGGTAGTTCTTTGAGAGCTTTATGGGGAAGTCACATAGGCTTATATGAAAATGCTAAATTTTCGGTAAGCTGCTGGCATCCATTACGACAGGTGTAATGATATGATCCACAGTTATGGCTCATAAGATTAATCGTATCGTCTTTAACATCATTCCTGGTTGGTTTCAGAATCTTCCATGTAATTCTCAAGTTTCATAATTTAAATGAAAAACACAACTGTCCAATTGCATGTTCCATCGCGATCCCACTATCAAAATATTAAGTATTCGAACTGGTCTGAAAACCAAGAATTCCCGGAATGGTCCAATTTAAGGCAGGTGGAGCACAACATCTATTTGAACGCACAAATGTTCGTACAAATAGGCACCGAAAACATATTCGCCACGCCAGTCACTTGATTTGTGTGTGGGCTGTGATATTGGCTGCGTGCCCATAGTGGAGCAGGTGGTTTCCTTAAGAGGCCACACCCGGAGCCTTCGACCTAAAGGTCTAATCCACAAGGCAGTTGGACAACGTAAGTAGACACAGTCCCATGGTAACCGGCGATCAATAATTGCTTCATACGCCATCTGTTCCCTCAGGATCTTGGAGCCCATGTGCACCATGGGTTTGGAATCAGGGTTTTCCAACTTTCCTAGGTGGATCCTCAGTATCCATACAGCTGAATCTACTATATTTAGTTTGCGATAAACGACCTACCAAATACAAATTAATCGTCAGTTTGTACAAATACCACAAAAATAAATCGTATTCTACCCACAATTCTAATCGGTCATTTTAGGGACAGTTCAAGGTCGCTACACTCAGCCGTGCTCAAATTGCTTTAGGGGAATGTTCGATTTCAAGCTTGTTTCCGTCTCACAATACTCGTAACATCTGCCGTTCTCCACCGCTCTACATAACGTAGTATTAAATCAGAAGTAGGGTGTTCCTCATTCATAAACTGGTTTTTGTTAGCAATTACCGACTGGTAGAGATTTAAATCTCTACCAGTCATATGTGTTACAATATGCATGTAATATAATTATACTAATCATTAGCAATAATAAGTAAACTGTCCTAACCATTTTCAGTTATCTTATGATCTGCTTTAGCCATAGGTCTGAGTCACTAAACTGGTATGTTGTTTCCCATCCTCAGCTTTTTAGACCTTTTCTCTTTTTATACTGATTAACATCGAAATTTTCACTTTAAAGCATGAATGATTTAAACCACACACTGTAAGCATTTTTGGAAGTATGCGCTAATTGCCTCTATTAGTTACAATCCAATAATGTGTCAGCTTCTATGCTAATACATATATGCCAAAGTAGCCCGTTAATTATAACTGTTATATTTTCTAAGCTTCTCAAAAGTCGTCCATTTAGGACTACCTGTAGATCCCAGGTATACTGACGAAAAATTTAGGTAGTAAGACCTTATATTTGTTGATGCAACCGTCAGTGTAGACCTACCTCTCAGCTATGGTTCCTCATGTGCGGACTAACCCGCTTTTATTCTGATGCGCTAATTATTGCGCAATCAACACTGGATAATCGGTATACTTTTGTTTAGAGTATGAAATGCTCTCACAGTTATTATGAACATGGTGGTGAAATCATGTTGACTCAGTGATTAGAGACTTTAACAAGTTACCGGGGGTCAGAGTTCTTGGGTGTCTCATACGCATTTTTAGTGTAAAGATCTTAGACTTAGCCATGGTGTTAATCTGGCTGTAAAGAGTTGGATTTACAGTGGGTCACTGGGATCAGTTCCGATTCTTAACTGTGGGACGTGACCTCTTCTAGATAAGGGCGTTTGATTATTGTGAGTTTCGTAATCGTTGTCCCCGAAGGGCTGCTTGCATTAACAAAAATAATAATAAGTTAATGTTAAATGGCGGCAAAATGCTTTTATGTTCAATCCCTGTTGTGTCAAGTTTGTCATAGTTTATTTAGTTTTTCATTTAATCTCCTGTAACTTGCCATGCTTTTCCTGTAACTAGTAGTTTGAGTAATAGCATTTATTCGTTTAAAGATTCGGGTAATTGAATAACAGTAGCTCTATGTATTTCATAGTGTTTTACAGAAGTTTTAATTGTTATTTTTTACTTTTTCAACGTATTTCGTGCAGATGATTTAATAATTGTTCGGAATATCAAAAGTCTCATGTCCCTCTCATCAGACCGCACAAGATGTCTTGCAATTAATTTCTGTCGGCACTTACAACCGTCACGCTTTGCTTTGCATGTATTTGATTTGTTTATTTCCTTCAAGTATATCAACGTCTCACATCAACATAATTCATGGCTTTCCCAAGCTATCCAAAATTGTTATCTTATCGGTCATGTTGAACCATACTTATTATTAATAGGTGGATCTTCCGCACATTTGCAAACCATAAAGTTATCATGGAATAGAGGTCAACTTAAATCTCCTTTTGGTTTCTCAATCAACTCAGTGTGTACGTTTTCAGTTAGTTTGTAGTTACTCTTCTTTTTTAAACGTATCAGATATGACGTGGCTCATAATACATTTTGTTGATCACATATAGTATTCATGAGAGCATACCTAATATCCTTTTAACGCTGGCATCTTTGTTTTTCTGATTGTATAACCAAGTAAAATTAATTCCTTAAAGCTGTTTGTGACCGAAATTTCTCAGCCTTATACATTCTTCTGTTCATAGCTTTAATTTATAACCAAGAAGTAGGGTCTGATAGATTATTTTGCTGTGTACGCTAATATTGTTAAACAGGTCGGACATTCCGTTAGACATAAGGATAAAGTTGGTTGACAAATCTCGAAAAACTGCTCGTTTAGTCATTTTATTTTTCTTTGTTAGAGTATACTTAAACAAAACCCAAGATTTGGGTTCAGTAAAAGAAATAACACGTTATTGTACAAATCCGATAGTACTGATCATAATAGCTGTCCAAATATCTACAAACGAAACATGATACTGTTCCGTCTGGTGGAACTTTTTACACCTCAAGGATTTTAAGACGCTAATATTTAATTATATTTGGGGTAAAGTAACTCGTATGATGTATTTATCAAACTCATCCTGATAACTAAAACGAATTTATTTGCTAGTTGATTTACAGTTTTTGATTGCAATCATGAACCGATTGATGTTAGACCCCCTCAATCAATAACATAGTAATCTCTACAACCTCATACTGATAATCTACAGTTGCTTAATCGCAAATAATCCCATATATTCTTCATTATATATTCCGTACAGCAGCGGATGATTCATTCCTTAAAACATTACTGTAAGCGGCTAGTTGTTCAGTCTTCCGATATCCAATTGCTGATAAACTATAAATAGATAGAAGTACACTATCGATTAAATTGTAAATCTACACATTTTTTGTTATCATAACTATGGAACTGTTCAACCATTTTCCATTAGATCCCGTTAGCCCCTTACTCGAAATAATATTTATGAAATCAATATGTTAGATGCGTAATTATCTCCTTGCTAACTTAATACAAATTATAACTGACACAATGGTGGGTAACATGTTCGTAATTTCTAAGCCGCCATTATCTGGGTAGAACAGCCTTTCGTAAAGTCCTAGTTGCATCTAGTGGAAACTGAGAATAAACAAGCAATTTATTTGATAAGCATATCAAAAGTTTCAAGCTACTCATACGTTTGCCATTTTCAGGGAATTCGAATATATATCATAACTTTCATTTACCTAGCATTAATTTGCTTTCAAATTTACTTTTTCTCTATATGCGTCGGAGTAATGTGCAAATTTAAATATTAACATTGAAATACAGAACAGTGGTTCTTGCTTGAGACCGTACTCAGAAACATTGAACAACTTAACTTACCTATTCATTTCCTCCTAAATTATTTATATTATTCTACCCACGTACCGTATACCATCACATATGATCAGTTTTATTTGTTCATAATGCTAGAAAACTGTTTGGTTACGCATTCTTGTCTTAGAGTTTATAGCAATTAAAATTGTTTCCATACTACCTGTTTATATGTTCCGGTCCTTTTTATAAATTGTATCTAAGATTGATGTTTATACTTCTAGCAGATGTTGGTTCTTGGTTTTTGGAGACTTCTCAGTTTAATGCAATGCATTTGGAGGAAGTTATCTGTCAACTAGTTTGGCAGGTTACACAATCTGAACCTAGTTGTTCAGTGGAACGTCTAGTCAAATATCTTGAAGACGTATATCGCGGCATACAGCTTCCTGTCCCTTCACTAAAAGATGTGAATAATTCTTTAACCGTTTTAACTCAAGCTGGAGCGATATATTTTAGCGGTAATTAAAATTCTGTTATTCTTGTGTATTAATTCATGACTGAATATCTAACTAGTTTGTTTTATTTATTAATGAACCAAATTTTTACATGTATTAAAGTGGACTCAGTTTACATCAGATGTATAAATTATATTTGAATAATCTCAAGGATTGGAATTTAATTAATTATCCAGCTCTTTTTGTCGTAATTTGTACTCATATGGATTTATTTCTAAATTAATTCTGACATAACACGTTGATATCAGTTATTTGCAGAGCAAAGTTTTTGACTAACATTTAAAGCTATAGATCTATCGTACGGCAGAGTATTTATCTGTAAATTAATTTCTCACCAAGTTTAATGACATTTTTGTATTTTCATCATAACTTTATACTCTCTCATGGCTACTTGGAAGTTGATTTGGTGAAGATTATATATAAACTCAGTATTAGGTCAGTAGTTCTTTATAAATATTTATGACAGTTTAGTTTGTTAACGTTTTAATAAAATAAGAATGTGAAGAAAGCCCCATGATTAAAGTGGTGAAGATCCAAATGATCAGATTCATATGAACATAAGTAATAATCTGAACGAACAATAGTTTTTATTTAAGGAATCTAGTAATCCTTATTGATAGTGTGAAATCACTACCCAACAACGTTATCTGTTTCATGAAACTATGCGAATGGATGTCAAATGTTTTATGACGTGTAGCAAACAATTTTTTGCATAAATCTCACCTTGCATGTTTAAGCGGATTAAAGTGGAATCATTTCTGTTAGTCGCTCAAGCATTGCTTCTGATTAAGAAACGATCATGAAGGGTAATATACTAGCCCGGAAATTAGTCACCTCTAAACTGTAAATGATCGTTTGTTCAGTTTTTCAGATCACGAGTATATACATTTAGATGTTTTACTGAGTTGATGTATTTATAATCCCATCGAGTTTTTTATACATTGAAGTTGAGAGTTTGTGGTGTGTCGAATTTGAAGCCAATTTTTATCACGGACTAACATCAGGACCATTGTAAGCAACAGGTACTCGTCTACTGTTTCGTCCTAGATTAAAATTCCTCAGTTTTCTTATGGCTAGGGATTTTATTCATGTATACGTGTTGTGTTTCATACTTATTCTTAGGCATGTTAGGTCTATATCCATCTGTTTCCCCTCTTCCTTATTTCTCTATGTACATTTATACATCCAAAATAGGTCACGGATATAATCTTCTGACACCTGAAAAGTTAGCCGTTGCAAAATGGCTTGAAAGTGTACCGGAAACATGTACAGACACTGAAAGTGTCTTGGATTACCCAATTTTAAAAACAGCCCCTCTAGCAGAAACAGAGCCATTTGGACAAAATGCATCCTCATCTGGTCCAGTTAACCGTTGTGATCTTGTTCAAAACAACGATCAACTTCGTAATTCTAAACATAAAATTGGAAATTCTACATATTATCGAAATACTAGTGCTCTGGTGCCAGTCCCCGAAAATCTAGAACTAGAACATTTGCTCAGGTCTTTCAGTGCTCATTCCATAAGTTCATATCACCTTCGAAGTAATCACACAAATCATTGCAACCCAGTTGTATTTGTTTCACCCACCAATAGTTTAAAATATCTCAATTCTCAGTTTCCCCTAACTTATAAAACAAATGAAATCAATAGTAATTATGTTATGAAATCAGCAAGAGAAAATGTTAGTAAATTTAATTCAGCTGGTGTGAGTGGTTCTCTTAAATCACATACAGCTCGATCTGAAATCAAACTCCCACATCATTCACAAATGGAAACACCATTCACCAAATGTACTAAAATACCATCAAACAAAAAATGTAAGTTGTTTTCCGTAAATTAACTTACTAGACAACCTTCAACTTTCTTGGGTTTTAATAAATGATTTTAATGCAATATATATATATATATATATATATATATATTGCCTACGCAGTGGGTTGTATAATTCTCAGTTAATATTTGAATGACTCTCATAACCGTCAGTATTTCTTTGGAAACGATTGTGGTTCACATTTATCTTGGGGCGTTTCATCTTTATACTTTGAGTGTCTACCTTGTTTAAGCAAAGAGTTTCCAAACTCAAGTTCGTTGTCATTAACTTTAGCAATGGTAATTATCGTAAAGAAATTCTTTCTATTAGCCCTCTACAAATGTGAATAGTCCTCCTAAATTGGATACTGTTCAATGCGTTCATTCGAAACCTTGTTTATATTTATTCTCTTCATAAAATTTATGTTAGTCAAAGGGAATTAAAATTCTCTCAGATCAACGATGTATTTATAATTAATATTATTCAGTGATAAAAAATACTAAAGTACATTCACAATAATCAATTTACCATCATACAATTCATTAGTTAGTGTTGAACAAAGCATAATATCCGTAAATAGGCTGATCTTTTATAATAATTTATAGTTCATTTTGACAGATAAAAGTGTTTTTTTTTAATGAATCCTTTGACCTTCAAGACTTCTTCAGTACTCCAACAAAAACGTTATTCACTTGTTTCGATGGGCTTTAATGATTTTAATAATGGTCTCTCTCTCTCTTATATAAGGGCATCATTTTGTTTCTAGGCAATTATATGACCAATTAGTTTTTTAATTATAGTACTTCACTTATAAGCCAGTTTCTTAAATGAATTTTCATATATATTTGTATATATATCTATTGACCTAGATTATATGAAATTGATTTAGTGCCAAGATTTTCGACTTAACTCTATCCTGACATTGAAACTCCTACATCCTTACAAAATTCTATCGTGAAAACATTCCAGCTTTACTTGAATAAGTAATAATTTACAGACTTGTTGCAATGACAATATATAACCCTCTTGTCCGGTTATATATGTGGGTATTGTCTTAAAATTAAAAGTTTTACATCCTTTGCTTTTTATCCGGTTGGATTCCCCTCTCTATGTACTGATATAGAATGTGTGGCAACCTGGAACAGTACATATTCCTGGTAGGTCTTACATTACCCATGATCAATATACTATTAGATTGACAATATTATTGACAGCTAAATATTTACAGTCAGTTTCTTACCAACAATATGGATTAATACAGAATACCCCTGAAGCGACATCATGCTTATTTACACTTTGTTATCAACAGTGCCGAATACTCGTTTAATATTTTCTTTAAAAAAGATTAGCTTTCTGTAAGTTTGCAAAATAGATATATTATGGAAATACGTTTATTTTATAATTACAAGAAAGGCGTAAAAAGTATATTTCAAATTTCTTTTTGATTACTCTGTAATAATATACTACACAACAATTTTTTGTTAATAATACCAGGTAAATCCTATCCCGTGATTTGTAAACTTCACTTGTTTACCGTATTGCGGTAAATTAATAGATATTTTATCTTTTATTAAATAAATACTCTGGTAAGATTTATGATAGTTTTTGGGGTCTAAATATGAAGTTGCCTTTTTAATTTGACTTTGTTTTGTTTTCGCATCATATTTTAATGTGTGTGCCACTTCCGTGCTCCATTTTCATTTGTATGAAATCTATCTAAGCTAAGTTTCAAAAAGGAGTTCCTAGATAGACCATTAGATTTATCAGTCACCTGTTAATTCCGTATTTCGCTGTCGCCTGTGTAAAACTACAAAACTTTAGGTACAGATATTCCTTTATGGTTAACAACAATACCCAAGAAGAAGTATATTAGACGAAATGTATGTAGACAAACAGGGGAATATATAAAGACGTGAATTGAACTGGTGATTATACTCAACGTTCAGACGAATTAATGATAAGATGGTGTTGTGTTTACGGCTATCGTTTTATTTAAAATATAAGTCAACTTTAACGAATCCGAATTCGTCTGAGCCTATGGTTCTTAGTTTTGTGTAGTTACACTAACTGCATGAATAATACTAATTAACTTGTGTTAATGGACAATTAGTGTTGAAATTTTCATTATTGCTGAACAGACATTTGAAAAAAACATTTCGGGAAATATACTTTCATTAGATTGTTGCACCTGTTATATCATTTGGAATCTTTTACTTGGTCCATTTATAACAAAATCCACTCACTTTATATTAAAATAAGTTACAAAGATGTTATTACACTTTTTTTAATTTGTAAATCATTTGACTACATTGTTATCAGTAAATAGAAGAATAAGCGTTCTGAAGCTTATAATGCAAATGAGGCGTAATATTTTTAGTTTCTTTCGGCCTCGGATAGAGCAGAAGATATCCGGATAGGATACATTATTCTAAGTATATTTATTCAAAATCTGAAGGTTTGGATGTATTGTAATCCGTACACATTATTGCAGCTGCTCTTCAAATAAGTATTTTAAATCATTATAAGAAGCATATATGTATACATTTATCAATGTGATAAAAAATTATTGAGTATAATGTTTAATAACATGAATCTTAGTTAAAAATGTATGACTATTTTTGAGCATAGCCACACATGGAATAATGAAGTAGCATTTTACCTCAAAGCGTTCTAAAAGAAACTCCTTTGTCTTGTCAACATGAAAACACTGCTCTAATTCTGTCATTTTTAAGTGCTTCTGACATGTCTGTGCTTTCTGTACCGATTATTTCGTCGTTAAATATGAACTAGTCATAATTGACGTAAAATCTGGGACAAATATAGATTTGCTCAAGTTATAGTACCAAGTCAACACAACGGGATGCATTTAAAAACGTGAATGCCAAACACATCGAAATAAACCACGTACTAATGATAGTGAGAAAGATCAAACATTCAGAATATGGTTTGAGTAATAAGTTTCCCAGAGTACTCAGATGATTAAAATTAATAGCCTAACTAATTTCTATCTTCTCATAGAGTACTCTACAGCGAACTTCAGCGTTGCTTACTCAACCGTTCCGTGATGCGCAACCAGTACTTCAAAGGCACATATGATTAAAAACATGAGCCTACGCATGTCTTCTACTTTCATAGACCATATTTCACAGATATAGAATAGTACAGAGCGGACTGCTTTCTATCATACTAGCCGTCTGTTTAGTAGACGAACATCTAGCCTTCACCACAAGTGACGCCAGTTGGGAGAAGCCAGGTGATCCAATGAGACTTCCAAAGTATACCAATTTCTCGACTTCTTCAACCACATCACTCCCTATGATCAATCTAGGTGACCAGCTCCGAAACACTTTCGTGTCTTAGCCATACTAGACGTTTAAAAGACTGTGTTTTGTCAAACCCATCACCAAAGAGGACAATGTCATCTGTTTATTCTTAGTCAGTAAGTGAATATGCTGACAGGAAATGATTCTATAGTGTCAGAAAAAGAAAATGTAATGTTTTAAGGATAATAACCATAACGAAATAAAGTGAAAAAGGGAGTTAGTGAGCTTCCCGATAAAAACGAACCACTATTCCTACAGATCTCCAGGATTAAAACATCAGGTGTCGCTGCTCCCTTACTTCACATTTGTTATGACGTTTTCAATCCTGATTAGCTATCTAAATCGTTTGGTAGTTATAGGCTACTGGGTAGCAGTTGAAAGCTTCTGTAGCTATTTCGCCCGTCGTTCCAGTCTTCTGCGCTAAAGATAGACCAGGGTTTCAACTTTTCCTCAAACAGACCGAACAACAACGTGAGTAAGTAAGTACGTGGATACATAATTTAACTAATTAATCTTCGCTTACGTATGTTAAGGAACGGATCAAAACTGTTCTCAAGGTGTCAAGTAAAGGACAAATTCAAGGAATTAATAAGCATGTCTTTTATTCATCGCTGTGGATTGATTTAAATATTACGATCTTAGATTTAGAAAGAGGAACCATCAACCATGTAAATCTAACTTGGACAGTTGTTGAGTCTGTAGTAGAACAATTAGGGACAAGCCGACCAGCCACATGCAAGTACTGCAGTGAAGTTGGCAATTATTTATTGATTTTAACACATAGGTATCGGTACAAGGAGGCACCAAATACGTATGCACCACACAAGTCTCAATTGATTTGTGTGAGGGCTGTGATACTGGACGGGCGCCCAAACCGAAGCAGGTGGTTTTCTTAGGGGGACACACCCCGAGCCTTTGACCTAAAGGTCTGACCCACAAGGCAGTGGGGCATCGTAAGGAGATGCAGTTCCATGGTAGCCGGTGACCAACGATTGGTTCATACGCCATTTGTCGCTTCAGGATACTGGAGCCCATGTGCACCATTGGTATGGGATCCGGTTAAAGCGCCGGACATTCGCTTTTCATCCTCTCATTTTCGTAGGACTTCCCTGGCAGAGGCTATGTACACGTGGCTACGTGAGAGCATTTCGAGAGTGAGAGTGGACTCTCCCCACTGTCGGCCGTACCAGGGCAAGTAAAAATGACAGGTGTACTAGTTGTGATACGAATAATAAAGGCTTGGACCAATGTTTCATGGTACAAATTAGGCCGACGACTTGAAAGAATGGACACAGATAACGTTCATTAAAATAATAAAATTGCATAACTAGAAGTGCTTTATAATTGGAGCGTATATTTGAAAAAAAGATGGTGAAAGTAAGTAAACGAACAAAGAGTATGGAAAATCATAACTAAAGTAGTAATTGTCCCAAAGAGGAGGTGAGGGTTTTACAAATTTCAGATTGTTGACTCGAATCTCTATAGCCCCTGGTATGTGTAAGGGATGAGGTCGAAACGAATAAGGGAAACAAGTAGGTATATAATAAATTACTTCAAACGATTTGTTTTTGTTCACTACATGACCACTATTGATCAGATGTGATAGAATAGAGCCGCGTATTGTTTTGATGATACTCTTTCCCAACTTTCTCCACAGGAGGGTAAAACCAGATAACTTTGAGAAATTATCATCGACCGTCTGGAAAACTACAGACAGAGGCTAACTGCATTAAACATCCTTTTTTAGTCAATCTATCTCGTAGTACATCACTAGATATAACTGCGCTGAACTATAGATTCAGGAAGAGAGGTTCCCTACTGACCGTTGACGTCGCTATTTTCCTGCTCAATACATGCAAGTGTTTCTTCATAAGACCTTGTGGATAACCCATTTTAGTCAACATATTATGAATGAGTTCTAGCTCCATGTTTATAGTGTCTGAGTATATCTTCCTAGCTCTACTTGTAGGACGTCTAACTAGGTTCGTCTTGTGATTAACGGGTGCAATACTCAAGAAATGCGCGTAATGGGTTGCTGAAAAAGTTTTTCTGTACACACCCACCAATGGAACCATTTCCCTTCCTGTTTCACAAAACGACAAGGAAATATAATCTTTCAAGTTCCTCCTTACACGTAAATCTGATTGCTGAGTGTATATTGCAAAATTTCTCTAAGAGTTCTTTCCCAATATTCTGATCAACGATTATGAGAGCATCATCATTTTAACGGTAATAAAAGTCAACCTCATCGGTAACCTTATTGAGAAGTCTGTTTTTCTAGTTTTGCAAGGAAAAGATCAGCAACGACCTAAGTGTGAATTCATCGCTATTCCAACAATTTGTTTATAATGTGTTATTAAAGGCAAAATGAACGTTCACTGTACATTTCAAAAGTAATCATTTAAGATTTGTTTTTCAAGTAGTTGTTTCAGTTAATCATATATTAGTAAACAAAGAAGAAACATCTAAAGATGTCGTCCGTTCCCCACTGGAATTCATATGCTCCACCTTGGAAATGGAATCAAAAGTATCTTTAACGCTTTTGTTAACGACTAATTTGTGTAGGGGATCCGGGATTCGAACTAAGCACTGCGGTCTTGTGGTATGATGAATCATACATATATTAAACTAGAAGAAGTGGACTTTGGGTAAACCACGGAGTTGTAGTGAGTCCGACCCCGTCGGTTTAAGCGAACCATGAATGGTTGGAGTAATTATCCCCTTCTCGATTCCTTAAGCAAATTAGTATCTTTGCTTCCATATTTTTATCTTTAACATCACTGGATTTTTGAAACATATTCGGGTCATCAGTATGGGGTTGTGGAGACTATTGAGTTTTTTTGCGCATCCCGCTCTCGGGATTCGAACCTAGGGTCTTCAGTCTCGCGTGCGAACGCTTAACCTTTAGACCACAGCCGGTCGGCATCCAAGGGTGTTAATGTCTAGCCTCAACCGACCATCTTCCACTGTACTAAAGTAGATACATCTTTTTACCCGACACGGATTAGCCCCACCGGTCACGGCTTCTCACTCGAACTCCGAGAATTCCCTCACGAAGCTAGTCACTAGTGAACAAATGGTAACTATCAGTATCGGGTTGTGGAGATTATTAAGTTTTCGGTTGAGATCATAAACCGATTGATGCTAGACCACCATTGAAAACCTGGAAGAACTGGACGGCCGTTTCATCTTATTGTGGGACTCCTCAACAGTGCGCATCCACGACCCCGCCCGCGGAACTCGAACCCAGGGCCTTTGTTCTGGGATCACTCGAAATTGAATTTTATCGATTTAATCAGTTTTGTTTATTAGAACTAACCCTGCTATTTCGCCTAGCTTGCTTATGATCAGTGTTGTATTTTCTAAACATATGTAAAGCACCTGGATGCTGTTTGGTAAGTGGTGACTTCACACTATTACGCATTGTTGGCAGATTTCAACTAACGTGTTCTTAAACCTAGTAACTTCATCTAGTGAGGTTGGGACCAAATCTGTTGTTCGTGAAAATAAATCCACAAACTGAACATCTGTATCTAGTTGATTTATTCTATTCCTATAGTTGCAGAATCTAGGGCCGGGCGATAAAGTCTCTAGTTGCGATATATCTAACCGAACACTAGGAAAATCATGGACGTACCGCTCTGGGCCTAGAAGGAACCTTTTTTTGGTTTTTGACATCCAAGTGGTATCATTAATTTTCTCCATAATTCTTTTCGGATCTACTTTTTGCTACAATGTCAATATAATCCATGAATTATGATTTTATTTCTGGCGGAAAGTTATCGACAGTAGATTTTCATTGCAAAAGATTTCTTTTCAGATCGATTATGTGCATTTTTCAACAAATATGTTTGGTTGAGTTCCCACTGTTTAAGGGTTCTGAAACGAAGATAAATTTCGTTCCGGCGTTAAGAATTCTACTGTTTTAGAATATCTGCCAGTCTGTGTACAATCATTAATAAATTCCAACGAAGTTTACTAGAACCCTCAAAAGACAGGTACTTTAGCTTGACATAAATTTCGAGCACTTAAAGTCGTCTCATGGAACTCCGTCCCATTAAAATAGAAGTAATATTCCATGAACTCAGATCGTTAATATATTTGGCACATGTGAAAAATGTTTACATTTCTTGAGTTGGTATCAAAAGGGGTTTTGTGCAGATTGTAGTAATTTCAATAGTTGAGATCATGAGTCAATTGAAGCTAGATCACCATGGAAAACCTGGAAGCACTGGATGTGCGCTGTTGATGAGTCCCACAATAGGACGAAACGGCCATCCAGTGCTTCTAGGCTTTCCATGGTGGCCTAGCTTCAATTGACTAAGGATCTCAGCTATCAAAACTTCCTGGGTTGCCTGAAAAAGAAACTGGATCAGTGATGGTCTTGAAAACTGCTAGGGAACAATCACGCGGTTTTTCTATGCTTTTAACTTGTCAGCGTTTCGCTGACAAGTCTCAGAAGAAACCTATGTGTTTCGTTATTCATACAAAGCTGTCGATAGCAGTTACTGGTTTGTTTTACGAGGAAGGTTCCATAGGAATATTAGCTCATTATAATCACTTATAAGTAATGTTTCCACAGGTGGGAGATGAGGATCAATAAATCCTATCCAATCGATCGCACGATAATTTGGTTACCACAAAACCTAAGGAACTCATGGTTGCCATTTGACAATAACAATTTCGTTCGACTTCGAAACTCATAATCCTTGTTGTATACAACTGTATGAAACTCCACGTTATCATTTAGAAAAATATCAAGTTTTTTGAATTTTGAAATGATTAATTTTTACCTAATTGTATGCCACGATTATTCTAATCGTCCACAATTCAGTTCATTCCCCAGGTTTTTTGAAGTGGCTTTTGGATCGATTTCAACATCTTCGGCTTTCTAGGCGTCCCAGTCAACTCTCATGTGTTGAAGATCAGATTATGCATTCTCAGAAAGCTAAGACATCTCGAGCGACAAAAACTGCTAAAGATGAGTATTATGTTTCTAGTCATCCTGCAAATCGACCACCCAAAATCCATGCGATATCTCACCACAGCTTTTCTCCTAGCAACTTACGAAGATGCTTTAGTTTGTCGGATGGGGGAAAATCGAACAAAACTAACAACCAAATTGTAAAAAATTGCAGTTCATGCATGGAAGCACCGTTCTCTTCAGGGATTTTGAATGCAGAAATCAACGGTAAAGGTGGCATAAAACGATTGAGTTGTCCAAGCAAACAATTACATTTGTTCTCTCAAAAAGGCATTCATGGGAACCACTCAGTAGCATCCTTAACTGTTAGCTCAGTATCTTTTTCGAAAAATCATTTTCTAGGTCAAAACCGCGGTATTAAGTCAGTACCACGTGTAATTACTTCACCTCCTACACTGGTGCGTAACTTTTCAAAGGATGGCTCGGAATTTTCTATGCAACACAGCGGCCGGACATCTACTATGCGAGATAGTGGGTTTGTAGAAGGACTACATCGCCCTTTCATATCTGGTTCTTTTATACAATCTAATTTCTCGAAATCCTCTGAAAGTTCCCGTATGCATCATCATCCTAAATCAGACAGTTTGCGAAAAGCGTCTGTCAACTCCTCAAATCTTTGGTGGTACACAGGATCCAGCCGCTTGGCACCTTCTATAAAAGCTTCCAGGCCACAATTCATTGCTTTTAATAATATGTGAATGTTGTTAAGGAATACTATTAAAACTATACTTTTAGTTTATTAACTACCAGTCAAAAGTCACTAATCTTGTTACACCTTTTAGCAGTTGTATATGGCGTGTTTCTTTGCATTTATCATACTATCATGCATTCAATAGTTACACTTTTTGTCTTTCCGAGATTTGAATAAACTTATTTTTGGATGCGCTCAAAACTAAACATACAAACTTCATAAACGATGACTCATTTTTAACCCCTTAATTTAAATTATTTCGAAGAAACTCCACTGCCATTTATATCTCTGCTTTCTCTTTGCTGCCTTACCATAACTGTATTTTTTTAGAATTGTTTATTAGAAATACAACTGATACAGATAACTAGTTTGGCTCCAATATATACGCGGGCTCTCGTAGTGTACTGGTTGATACTCTTCGAAAGCAGCACTATACTAGTCCTCTTCGAGATTAATATGGTTTCCAAATTTGCCATAAAGATCTTTCTTTAAATTGTTCATGTGAACTTTGCAGTCGCTGATGCGTTCTTCGAGGTCCACCATTCGCAATTTCACTTTTTCTTTGGCTGCTGAAAGCTCTTCTCCAACTTCATCATTTGACAAGTGGAAAAATGTTTCCCCAATAAGATATCTTTTCAGCTTTTAAGGTTGTTTTAGTTAATTATATGATAGATATCTATTAGTAAAGCATAATAATATGAATCAACAAAATAAGTGGCCTTACGTGGATACATAACTCCGCCTGGAGTCTTTTTCGGGGGGCTACTGCCGGTCCCAATCCAGGGCAAGTAAAAATGACAGGTGTACTAGTTGTGATACGAATAATAAAGGCTTGGACCAATGTTTCATGGTACAAATTAGGCCGACGACTTGAAAGAATGGACACAGATAACGTTCATTAAAATAATAAAATTGCATAACTAGAAGTGCTTTATAATTGGAGCGTATATTTGAAAAAAAGATGGTGAAAGTAAGTAAACGAACAAAGAGTATGGAAAATCATAACTAAAGTAGTAATTGTCCCAAAGAGGAGGTGAGGGTTTTACAAATTTCAGATTGTTGACTCGAATCTCTATAGCCCCTGGTATGTGTAAGGGATGAGGTCGAAACGAATAAGGGAAACAAGTAGGTATATAATAAATTACTTCAAACGATTTGTTTTTGTTCACTACATGACCACTATTGATCAGATGTGATAGAATAGAGCCGCGTATTGTTTTGATGATACTCTTTCCCAACTTTGGGGGCTGTTTACAATTAGTGCTTAGAAGTCCCTTTAAAGAAGGAAAATAGATGATAGTCGAAGGTAACGAACAACCTGCATGAAAATAAGCTTAGTAATTTTAGACAAGCTATTAGTGACTTATTCATGATCTATGCAACGATTTTGCGATTGTATACAGTGTGAAGTAGTACCCTCGTAGGCAATGATAGAAAAAGTGAATGTAAATTAGGGCGTGATATGTCGGAGAACACACAAGTTAACTACTAAAGGTGTCTTCAGTTTCCATAAGTATATTTTCGAACGTGAAACCACGAAATATGCTACTTCTGGGACTTCTGCAAATCTTGGAACAATGAGACTAGGTGTCGTACGTCATGATCCGAACATGACAGAACATCGCGAAGGAGCTACCGTACATCTGTTTCGCTTCTAATACCCCACATAGATAATTATTGAAATGGTTATAATAATCCAAGTGAGCTCTCCTAAGCTTTGAGAACAAGGTTTTAAATAGTATTGATCCAGTGATTTTTGACGGTTAGAACGTATGTTACATATCACAAACTAATATAAGCAAGGTTCTACACAAACTTAGAACTGAGCGCAGGATCAACATAGACATAAAGTGTGACTTATAACTAAATGGTTCTAAACGAAATAAAGGCTTTCGCTTAACAGGCTTCCGTATCTAGCAACAGTGGATCACCGGCGTCTCCAGGTAGGAACCTAGGTATATTTAACAAAAAGAAAGATATTAGTAAGTTATAGCGAGATACTGTCCTTACTCCTTAAGATAGACCGGGTTTCATCTTAAAGAACTCATGGTAAGGCACTTTGACTACCTCATCTCGCATCAGATACCAAAAGGTGTGCCTACAACCCATTATGCTACGTATCTCTAATTTCTGAGTGTTAACCCGAAGGTTTGTGTTAGGATTGAGCTTAAGTAGGTAGTTAAAGGAGCTTCCAGTAGGGCTTGAGATGCTATAAGTCACTAGGTCATTTCTGCGACGCCTATACTCTAATGCGTAAAGGTTCGGTAATTTGAGGCGCTCGTCATAAGGCTTGAGTTTAAGTCCCCAAACTGATTGCGTGGCTCGCCGTTGGATACATTTCTATGTATCGTTTCAGAGTGAGAGGAAGCACTACGTTTTCATACTCTAAGTGGGGTCGAATAAAACTGCTAAAGACTAAGTGGAAAGTTTTGCCATCGAACTGGCCAAAAATGCGCCTTAACGCATTTGCATTTGTCACATTATATGTAACAGGTGACAATGAAACAGCACCCAGGTCGCTTACACGAGTTCATCATGACCATGGTGAAATGTGGGTTGTTAGATAGATCCTAGCAAAATTTTATGACCAAAAAACAAAAAGGAATACACAGAGAGAGTAGAGTGGATAAACAGATGGTACACGAGTTCAGGATATATTAAAACTAGCAAATTACATTAGGACTAAACTTTCCATTCGTAAAGCGCGTTTTTAGATAACTGCGACAAGTTAGATGGTAGCTGGAAGGTATTTGAAGAAGCAAACCAGAATAACAACTATGATTTGCAGTTCTTATTGAGGTTAGTGTATGGTTCAATACATATGTATGTGATTGATATCAATCACTATAAATACTAAATTTATGTACATACAGGGATAAAATCAAAAATATAACGGACGTTAAGAGGATACGGGTGTAAGCTCTCTTCGGCAACAACTAATTCGTCCTCAGCATCATTAAGATTTGCCAGCTCCTTCTAAAATTCATGATTACATACAGAACAAAATCTATTCACACTTTTTTCTGGTCGTAATCTGATGTAAAATCTTTAAATTTTAAGTTCCACGTTGCAAAGCTGTTTATCCTTTGTTGGTCCTCATGTGTTACTTCAATATCTTCCTAGCTATAGTGATAAGAACATGCAGTTGACGTACCGACATTCCAATACAGCAGCAGTTGACCTTGAGTGCCCAAACTCACCTCATCAATATTCAGTGGCAGGAATCGAAAGTTGATCTATATTAACCAAATAGTTGTGAACGCATCGGAAGAAGCTTTTAATCAACAGGCTCTCGAATCTTGTAAAAAAGGATTACATATGGATAATTTTATCAAATGAACTTATTTTGTTGCCGTTATCAAGTACCAACCGTTTAATTTATGGTTAAGCATCTGAAATAGTAATACGGGAATTACGTCGCCCTGAGACTGAAAAATAATTCTTAGTTATGTGTTACACATAGCAAGTCAAATTATGGGTCGGAGGTTCTCGTAACTGTTTTATAGTTTATCATATCCAGGACAGTAAGAAATCTCAATGAGCTTCTACATTAAATTGAGGGTGGATTAGTCAGAAATTTACTTAAACTTTCTGGTGTAATGCGCCGGTTCAGCTTAGTCTTACCGTCAATACTGCCAGTTCAAAAGTGTACTGGTCATGAATGATAAAATTTCTGCATGGTAGCATCTTAAGTCCTTTTAAACAATCTACTTAAAGTATGTGAGCTCTCTAGGCACTACTGAAAAATGTGAAGATGTTCAGCAAGAAATGCTTACCACGATGCTCAAATCAAAATCGTTGGGATCATACGTTTCCTGGACGATCCATGTAGTCTTGGTTAACCTTAGTGGTTCCAAAATGATAACGACACTCTTCATGGCAACATGTAATACATTCCAAGTAAAACCTTCCATGCACTCATTATAGGGATTTTCATATGGCATTACCAAGCCAACAATTACTCAGTGTGACTTCGGAATTTCTTACACTACCATCAAATAGATAGACTATTAACACTGCTCGAAGACGGATGTTAGTAAAGTGGGCATTCCAAGATGTATTAGAGTCATTAGATATCGTCAAAACTCTGCAGGCTAGTCTACAAAATGAAATCCCCACGACCTGTTTAACTCAGACTGCTCCGTCACAAAAGGGATATGGGTATATTGAGAAATGACTGGGAAAATGAACATCTATTGTGACCCATCAGGTCTAAGTAACTTAGATAACTTTGCAACCGTTCAACGAATAACTCAATGAAAAATCAGCGTAAAGATTGCACGAATTCTTCATGATAATATGGGTATTTATTTACTCATGTTTCCCGCCAATTGTTATTATTGTGAACCTTTGGCTACGTCTGAAGCAGTAACGTATATATCAGCTCATCCCATTATAAATAAATGACTTTTGGTGGCATTTCACGGAAACGTCCGCTATTTGTATTTCATCTTCCTTTCGTTTCGCTGAAATAATGCACGTCGATATGAATTCCAGAATCTCTTCCCCCAAGGAAAGTTTTCACATTGGAGTACCCGAAGCACAGCATAGTACATTGGAAAGAGGTACTACAAGTTTCCCTTCATATTTTCCGACGTAATCGCAGTGATAGGGAAACAAAATTTTTTAGAAGAATGATTTCCTACTTAAGTAGATTCCAAAATGGTCCTAACAGAAACTAAGTTGCTAAGATATTTATGCGCAAAGTAGGATCACTTTAGATAAATCGTGGCACTGAATGATAGATCCACACACTAGATCACATAAACTGAGGTACACTACTCACGATAATCAGTTTATTCCCAGGAATAACAAACAACCAATACATCGCAAGACCAAAGGCAGATACTAAGCATTATGGGTTATAATTACTCGAAAGAGCGGATGCAGAACGAAGATGAACATATCGACCGAAGGAAAACACGACTTTAGTGGTTACTTAGTCTATGTTTATGAACGTCTTTGATGACTGGCTCAGTTCATATCTGACAAATCGACATTTTAACG